TGTCTTTAGAAAGTACCGACTTACAGAACAGAGGACACGACAGGTGCTACATAACTTCAGCTGTAGTTTACCAGGTAGATACCTCAGAAAGTTCAGCTCTCTCTTTTTCTCTATGGGGACATCTTCACCAGGCTGACGGGCAAACAGAGGGTCGTTCTCCAGTGTCCTGAACACATGTTGCTGTAATGTGGAAAGGACCAGACAGAGTAAGACAAAGTGAAATCCATCTGTGTGTTGGTCAATAGCTCAGAAGCAGAATCATGGAGAAGTGTGATGATTTATTCTAAGAGAAGTGAAAACGCAACAGTTAAAGGTGAGGATGTAAATACATCATCCTGTCTATGCTAAGTGAAAATCTCTTGGCTTCTCAGTGGCAAGTTACAACAGTTTAGGCTTAACATATAATTTTAATTACAATGCCACGAGTACAGCCTGTGATGTTACCTTGAATAGATATACATCTTCTCCATCTATAAAGCAGACCATGTCCTTCCAGCTGAAGGAGGCTTTGTTCCTGTAGACATCGAGCGGGCCGCTGGGGAGGTCAGCCACGTCACGGTTCATCATGTTTTAAGGCACGGTGCACTCTGAAGAGATACAAGACAGAAGAAAATGGGACAGTAAATGAACAGAACTAGTCCTAGCACTGGACGCTGTGAAAGCACACTTTAATGTGTGCACTGAAATATTATGCTCAACAGTACTGAATGCTGCAGTGAGGTCGAGCACAGAGATGAGTCCAGAGTCAGAGGCCTTACTAAGACAGGTCCTGTGCTGTGATGAGAGCTGACTGAAGCACAGTATCAGATGTTTCTTTTAAGAAAGTGTACAAGTCAGATTAAATGCATTAATGTACACATTTTGGTGGCCTTGAAGATTCAATAACATAAATGTAATGCTGGGTTCAAAATCGTGCATTAATACCTGATAACTAAACTGCACACGCGCTTGATGTAAAGTATAATTTTAATGACAAGTTTTTTCTTCGTTGGTTTAGTAGGTACAGGTCAGTCACCCACGGGAGGCCTACTGTGGCATTCACTGAGTGTGTATTTGCACACAGTCTGATTGTAGATCTGACCAAAGTCTTTAGCAAAGCTTTTACAGCTAGCACATCAACAAAGACTACTGCACTACAAATAAGCTCTTTCGTGTTGATATCGGACGCACAGACGCACTTTTTTACGGCTCAAGAACATCACCGACGATCAAAGACCAGCGTGACCTTTATACCTTTTTGTAACTTATCAGCTGCCAAACGCGGACCAAAGTTCAAAGCTAACAGCGTCTGGACCCGCTAACGCACGTGAAGGAGTTCCACGGCGTTGTGCTCAGCGTCACCTGCTGTGGGCTGGCAGGTGTGCAAAACTAGAGACGTGACGAAAGGAAATCCTCAAGGTTGATTCTGGTCATCAGGACGTTTTCATTGGGAGAAACGTTTCGTCACGCATCCAGGTAACTCCGTCGGTCTCAGCTGACTGCAGATTCCCCCAACATTATAAAAGTCAAGTCTTCACTTGAATAAGCCTTTAGGTGCATACGTCACGTCACGTCACGTCACGTCACGTCTCACATCTTACCGAACGCTGCGGTTGTCACGCCGGTGTGTTGCTGGCTTCTCTGTCAGTTTCCCAACTGAGCTGTGAGCTACGCGTAAGAAGGTAAGCAGGAAAAATGACGCTTCCTAACAGCGACGACAACACTTCCTCTCTGCATCCTTCAGAATAAAAGTATCCTCTGGCGCAGTGAAAAGTAACATCATTTGTTACATTTTAGGAAATCCATGCGGAATCACGTGATCCCTTATTACTTATTACTAACGCTGATGTTACACTGACGTAACATATGTAAAACTCCAACGGTAAAATATCACTTTATGAGTTGATTATTAGTCGAATCTATTTTATGATGGTGTTTGATAGGTTTGGGTAAACTTGTAATGCAATATTTATTTGTTTTAGAACAAAGGGAAACTGTCTTATACAGCACACCACAAACATACAACATATCGAGAACATTACCCCAAACCCAAACCCTACAAGTCCCCTACCTCCCCGTCTCCACCCCCACCCTCCTTACCAACACATATATGCTTTGCAGCATAGCCACAACATTCCAATGACACCACAGGTTAACGTCATGAATAAGGAGAGAGGTACAATAGGGCAGTGCTTTAAAACAAAAAGAAGAAAATTACATTACCTCGCCTATTGCACATTCCTGAGTAACCTTTTGGTCTGATGGGTAATCTTATTTTGAAAAGTCGTTCTTTGAAGGATATTATTACTTGCTTTGAACGTCACCTGTGCGGTTTTAAATTCAAATCAAATCCATGGATTTAATAACTTGTGAGTTTAAAAAATGATTATTTGTGCGTTCACGAAACCAAACATTATGCATAACTCTTATTGCTCTTTTTTGCATTGTGTATATTTTTTGTAGAGAACTCTTCTAAGTGTTGTCCCAGATTCCAACACAATAATTTACAGTGTGCAGTAAGGTGTGTGTGCAATGTTTTATTGTTCAGCACGTGCCTTGCTTTTTCCAAAATCCTTGTGGTTTTTGCCATATTGTTACATAGTGTTTGACACACACTGCCGGTCAGACGTCTGGACACAGCTTCTCATTTAATGGTTTTTCTGTATTTTCATGAATGTTTCCACTGTAGATTCTCACTGAAGGCATCAAAACTATGAATGAACAAATGGAATTATGTAGTAATTGTAGGTTGTAGGTTGTCAGAATATGAATGTCAGTTAGAAAGCACTGAAAGTATAGATAATAGTATGGGTGAATGTGCCGTGTTGCATTGAGTACTCCAGGAGAGCATCTTCATACATTGTTATTAGGGAATTCAGAGTCTCATTCTTCAGAGGACGAATGTCAGTGTCTGTCTTATAGATTTCTTCATAACACACTGTTAGACTTGTGTGTCTTTAATGCTAAAGAGTGTCTTATCTGTGATTGTCATCTTGACAGTCGAGTGCGGGCAGGTTACAGAAACTTCAGCAGGTCCAAGTTCAATTATCACTCCCTCCAAGAAATACATGACACCAGGATTTTCAAGTTACTGATTAATTTAATTGCTACCTGGCACTTTAACATCACTGTCATCAGATTCACCATCAAACTGTGCAAAATGCATCATATTGTACAAACAAGCATGCATCACATCATACAGACGGCACAAGTTGAACTATAAACGTGTGCCACGCAGAATAAACAAATAAACAAACATACCTTGCTGCACACAACAAAGAGGGAATGAGTCAGTTTGCAGAGCAAAGCTCTTCTTGACTTAGATCTGCGGTCCATGTCCCCTTAAGCATAATTCATTTTTTTGTGGACTGTAAACTCCTCCCACATTTAATGTTGACTCCTGGCAGGAATGGCAGTGCGACACTAAAACAGGCCCCCAGGCAACACAAAATGTAAACATATTTGCATTTTCTCATGTAGTGTTAACACAAATAAATTATAATTCATAAAAATAGGCTTACTTAAAATTGTATTTAAACAAAACACACATGCAATAATGATGTAATAATTATGGCAGTTAAAAATGATGGAGTGGACTCAAGAGCAGACCTTGAGACAATCAAAGTTCAGTGCATTTCCCCCAGTGCTTCAACAGGACATCTACAAAATCGCAGGGGAAATGGGACCCCAGAGGTAAAAGGAGGAAACCCAGGGAAGGTCTGAACAAAGGAAGCAACAAAGAAAGTTCCTTTAAGGCAAAAAGCTAAGGTGCCAAATAATGTCTACCTGGAATGAGTGTCACTCAGGAGCACAGACAACATCAAACGATCACAGAAAGACAGGAAAGATAGAAACTGATGCGGAGAGAAGACAAAAGCTGGCAACATCAGCTCTGGAGAACTGAGGCACCATGAAAGATTAAGTTTAGTTGAACAAGTCTCAGCAAAGGACTACAGCAAGTATGCTTTGAAAGAACCATAGAACATTCACTGAAAGACTGTATTGTTCAAACGAATATATTTCTATAGTTTATCACCGAGAAAAAAAAAGGTCTCCAATTATTCTGTGGGTTTACTGCTCATGTAAAGTTCACAAGGACAAATTCATCATTTGTCAAATAACTCGGAGTTTGTGCTGGATGAACCTTGGTAAAACTGCCCCTCATCCTTTGCTGTTGACTCACCAAATTAATTTCATTTTTATTCTACCAAATTTACAACAGCAGCAGCAACAGAATCACCATCATTTGTTGATGAACAGAATATAGATATATAACCATAAAGATAACAGACTCCGATGGCCCATCTCAGCAGAACGGAGCTCCAGCTGTGAAAGGGATTAGAGCAGGATCCCCCCGAGCCTACATGCTGGTGGTGGAGATGAAGGTGGCTTGAATGGAGCTTGAGTGATGAGAGGTGGAGATGAGGTGGATTGGACAAAATGTGTCTGCAAAAGACAGATGCAGAGTAAGATCTCAAGAACACAGCATGAATGCTGATTGGCCTGGAGAAGGTGATTAGCCTGGACACACAAACAGCTTGACACTGTGAGAAAGTCAATGTGATAAACCTTCGATTCATCCAGCAGCACCTGAGAGCGGACAGATGTAGGCCATAGATCTTTCTAATTGAATTTACACATAAGCTTCATACATATTTGTCATACTTTTGGGGACAAGCCATCCAAAAGGCACTTAGAGCAGCCTTCACGTCACCAGCGGCCTGGATGTCAGTCTTCCAGTGGCATCAGTTTCCTCACTTGACAGCCTCACAAATATGGATAAAATATCACAGTTGCCCCCTAGTGGCTTGCTGCAGTATAGGTATGATTCTTTTAACACTGACAAAGGCTGAGACCCTACAAAGGGTCCCTTTGTAGCAGGGGTCACTAACTCCAGTCCTCGAGGGCCGCTGTCCTGCAACCTTTCCATGTGTCCCTGTTGCAACACACCTGAATAAAATTATTGCCGTAAGTCATTAACTAGAGTATAGAACTTGACAGCATGCTGACGTGGCAGCCTCTAACCCTACTCAAGTAAATTTAAGTGTTAGGAAAAGTGTACTTTTAAAATACTTGCACCATGTTCATTCAGTCATGAGCTGCTGTAACATGAATCAAAGGGCTGAACTGCCACTTCAGCATGCAGAGCACCACTTTCCATCCCTGAGTTGCCGACGTTTTGTCAGAATGGCTTTAAGGCATCTAAACTTTTTCCTTGGCCTCACCAAACTCCTCCCACACCCGAGTTTTTGCTTCAGCCACTGCCTGAGCCGCATTCTGCCAGTACCCATCAGCTACCGCCAAAGTCCTGTAGGCTAACCAAGCCTGATTCAACGCTCTCCTCAGCTTGATGGCTCCCTTCTCTGGTGTCCAACGTCTGGTTCAGGGGTTACCACTGTGACAGGAGCTGAGTGTAGCAGTCTCAGCAATGGAGGTGCTGAATATGGTCCGTTCAGTGTCCCCAGCCTCCATAAAAATACCACCAAAGCTCTTCAGGCCTCTGCCAGGCGTCCCCAGCAGAGGCCTGCTATAGCTTTGGACGTGCCACGTCTGTCCAGCGTCTTCCCTGCCACCCGATCCAACTCACCACCAGGTGGTGATCAGTTGACAGCTCCGCCCCTCTCTTCACCCAAATGTCCACGACATATGACAGCAGATCTGATGATATGAAGCCACCCTTATGTTCAAACATGGTGTTCATTATGGAAAAACTGTAGTTTCCACAGAAGTCCAATAACAGAGTGTGAAAGACGCACGGCAGACACGACCACTCGCTCATGCTTTTCAGCATACTTTTATAAACCACGGTTGCTGTTACACACAACACGGCTACATCTCTGCAGCTCACAATACCAACAACAACCACAACAGTCAGTCAGCACAGACTTTAGGCCGGCGAGGTGTGAGTGCAGATGCTGTTTCTAGTGTAAAGCACTTTGTTTAAATGTGCTATATAAATAAAGTTGTATTGTATGCCGTGCAGGTGAGTCTGCCTCCCCTGCAGACCACGCCCTGCACACAGAGCACTGCTCCAGTTCAGATCAGGTCCCAGGTCTGATCCGATGCTGAGAGGAGGGAGGTTGGGGAGAGAATGGGCTTTGGCCACGACACAGTTATCTCTGCTCCTTGTAGATACACTGAAATAGGAAAGGAGGCAAATCCTTGGAAGCTGTAATCCAGTAGAAAACGCCTTTGAGGTTATCCGCCAACATGGCAACACTGAGCAGACACAGATATAAAACTACTGTGTGAGTCCACAGTGTTCGGGCGATGGCGGCTCCTCTAGCAATTCTTGCTGTAATTTCCAGCTGTGGAGTCCCAGGGCAGAGCTTATGTTCTCTTCCTCATGTAAGGAAACCCCAAATGTTCCTAGACATATTCTTTTATACTCGCCCACATGCACCCTCGTCTCCCTCCTCCCCTCTTTCTCTCTGAAAGTCACAGCTCCTGAGATGACAATCACCCAGTGTCCAGACACATTATCCTCTCTCTCTGACTTTTCACCACTTTAACTACAGCAGAGGTTACTTCATTAAAATCATCTTTAATCATTTTAACATGATTTC